CAAATTTTAAATAAATGTTTAATTACCATTGTTGCTATTAAATTTATTGTGTGTGCACAACATCGATGATGTTTTGGTAATGCATATGGCAAATCATGGTCTTCATCAATTAGAAAGTTCAAGTTGAATGCGTCAATTTCTTCTAAATCATTAACAACAGTATCGTTCACTAGCAATGTATCAGTATATAGTCATGCAGTCATATAAATATCAACTACTTTTGTTAATGCTGCAACTAAAAACTATTTAAAAAAACAAAAAATAAAAATAAACAGCACACATTCTTACTTTGACTATTTAATTTTTTGTTCATCAAAAAATCTTCTAAAACTGGTTGTTCTAAAGAACTACCAGCATTATGCTTCAATGATAGATCATTGCGTCTTTTTAAAGAATTTTTGTTCTCTGCATTATCATTGTGATCAATTTTCTTTAATATAGTTGAATGTTGTGTCTGAATAAAATGAAATAATATAACCTTTTACTTAACATTATAAGTTTTGATAAATAATTTACATTTTTTGATCAGTGGCGCAACTGGGATTTATTTTTGAGGGGATAGGGGGTTACTTATTTTATTTTATTTCATATACACAAGAATACTGGGTCCCTCTGAGATAAATCGTGTGGGGGCCAAGGAAAATACATAATATAGAATAATGAGATCTATGATACACCTTAAGCATTTGAAATTTGACTTTTAAAAAGCTGTGCGCCACTGTTTTTGATGTATTTTTGTAATATATTAGGTATTTGTGTGGTATTTAAAATTAATTCAACATTCAAGATATAGATGGGTCAACTGTCATAGGCATGAAATTAACATTGAACTTACGCTTAAATGTTTTCTTATATTAGAGTTTGAACGTGAATCTACCTTGTAACACTTTGTATCGACACAACTTAAGCACTTCACATCCAGCTTCTTGTAAAAAAAATTATCCTCAATGACTCTTAATACTTAAAAATATTTTTGATAATTTTACTAGAGTTAAAGAAGAACAAGAGTATACGCCATACGGTTGATGCAATACAATTATTAACAATCTGTAGGAACGTCAAGCAGACAACATCGAACACAATACGAATGATACGAACCCTAGTAATAAATATTACAATCGTGTAAAACAGCGTTATTCGTAGTCTGTATGTACAAAAATAATATTATTTTCTAATAAAATTCACGGTATTGAAGATAACGAAGAAGATTATCTTCTATACCGTGGTGCTATAGCCATATTTATTTATTTATTTATAGCAGAATCAGTTATCAGTCAATATCAATATACTGGATACAATTGATACAAAATGAACGTATGATAACTTATCTCGCAGCGGCAAGACTACTAGCGCTTATCAAATGTTTGTGTGTTATATGTATAATATACTCATAGCTAATTATAAATATAAATATTAACTAGGTAGCCTTATAGTTATAGCCTAACAGGTTTATGGTTTTATAAATATCATAAGTTTTTTTAATTCTTATTCTCCCGGTATCACCACAGAACAAACCAACAAGCATGACTAAATAATATATTATTTAATAATTTTTATTTATTTTATCATGCCAACGAGTACCTATAACAGAACCACAGAACAATCCTATTTAAGCTCTAGTTATCTCGTCACAACGCGAGTAGGTCGAAGACTCAGAAGTCAAAGAATATTACGAATCCTTTCTACAAGAAATGTGCAAACCACTGCTTCAGTCTTATTTTTCTTTGAAAACTGTTGATAGCCAGCATTGCAAAATCGTATATGTTTTTCGAAGCCTTAAAATAATAGTGTGGAACAGGCGATCAGCGTTACCCACCGCGGGAACAACCACTATGCTTTGCCTATTGGTATACCTAAGTCATAATTCATAAGGTATTAAAGTCTATGCCGATGCAATACAATAGTATAACAATGCACAAAAATTACCCCCCAAAAAAAGAGCCATTGTATTAATTACCCATTACCTACTGGATACTACCCCAACTGTTAAATATAACATTATACAAATATAAATTTGATAAATATTGTCAACATTTGAACTTAAATTGTTTATAAAAAAAAATCGCTCCCATGTATTTTTAATATTTTTCAACTGCAAAATAATATAAGGGACTGTAGAAAGAAGAAATATTAGAAACATATACTTTTACTCCCAAAAGAGTAAAAGTATGAAATACGCGAACCCGAACAATCCAAACGCCGTCGTTTCACCACGATATAAGTTTAATACGTACCTATTTTGCCTATACTACACGCCGGGGAACACCTTAGGTTTATGCAAAGTATTTAAAAGTTAAAACAATTTGTGAGGGGAACACGATTAGGCACTGCTAATATTAAAGTCTTAATCATCATTAACAAATCAATTAAAATAATTGATGATTGAATAGCTTTTAACTATATTAACATTCAATTAGTACCCATTATAAAATGTTTATTTCTGAAAAAAAATCATAACAATTTAGCACAAGGTTTCTAATAAATTGATCTTCAGCAGCTTAAACAACATATTGTGTACAATTTTTTCGGCTTAAAAATGTGGAGATTGTAGACTGCAGTCTAGTGTTTCCCTACTATATAATTTTTTCTAAATTTTTATTTTTGCTTCTTGAAATGCATTTGCCTGCAGACGCTTGTGCTACCCTTTCCACTTTTTATCATTAATCAACTCAAGTTTATTTTGCTGCATAAACATTAAAAAAAAACTTTTTTAAACCGCCACCCTGACTGATGATTTCGGCGCCGCTGCTGGTATACATAGACACACTAAACTTATAAAGTAATCTTCTCTCAGAAATCTTTTTTTACTAGAGACAACGTAACAGCCCATTATACATCTAGACAATATTAATACATATATCCCAGAGCTACTGATGACTAATCAATTTATTAGTGCAAACTAGTAGGTATTAGTGAACAGCTGGGGTCCGTGGACATACTCCCGTAATCTCATTACCAGTATCGATTATTTATCGTTTTACCCTTCAAAAAAGTTCGATTTCAGTGAGCTCACTATGTTACATCGACCGGCGACCGCGTAAAATACCGTGCGTCCCGATATTCGCCAGCTTCTCCATGGCTTTACATCAGCGGTTCCCAACCCGGGGGGGGGGGGGGAATAAAGTCATGATGGAATTACGAAAATAATTATGTTATTTTACCATGTATAAAATTGAAATCACTATATTATATAGTTATCAGATTATTGGGCATCGATAACAATTATATGTAAGGTATAACGATAGAGTCGATAGACCGAGATATTATTTATACTTTATGTTAATATTATTGTTTTTATATTCAATATTTTTTTCTTATACTTAATATTACTACTTCGTAAGTTGATTTAAAATACATTTTTAAAATGATAAAAATAATAAAAGTAAATAGTTGTATATTGTAAAATATATAGTTATTTTGTATGTGTTATTTGTACCGCTCACAAAAAAAAATTGCCCAAACTCTAATTTTAGGGGGGAGGGAGGAATGAGATTTTAGTAAATTTTCAAGGGTGGCGTATAATGAAAAAGGTTGGGAACTTCAGCTGCTGTACATAGACTGCAGCAAAATTACCCCTTTTCTAAAAGTCGATAATACGTAAACTGGGCTGAAAAAAATTAATATCATACAGTCTGCGACCAAACTGATAAGATACGTTCTACAAACTATGGCTATTTATTTTATATACCCCGCTATACTATATATACTGTATGCCTGTATATACTGTATAAGCAATAAACATATATGTAGATATATCTACTATATATATATCAATACGATAATATACACAAGTATACTATAAGTATAGCCAGTATAGGTATAAGTAAATAATATGGATAGGTACGTAAATCATATATACCTATAAGATATAACCCATGTGTGATTAATGTTTATGGTACATATTATATGGTATAATTAATCATGTTATGTTAAGTACAATAAATTGGTTAAAATAAATTGCAATGCGTTTTTTTAAGTTACACCGCAACTCACTAAATATCGGTTCTTTCACTCGTGATAATACTACTTAGTATAACTACTTACTTTACTTCTATACTTACATACCGCAGTTTGTATGCAATGTATCTTGTCGGTTATGTCGCAGAGTATATTATGTTAAACGTTTATTTGCAGCAGTTTTCACATCATCAAAGGGTCATTTTGCTGCATTTTACCATTTTACTTTTTGCTGACGTTGCAATTTTTATATCGATCAGATAATACACCATGCGTCCGATATTCACCTGCAACTTCTCGTCGATTCCCCGATCGTCTTATTAATCAAGTAATCAGTAACATAAGCATTAAGCTGTTACACAACCAATATAGTTGTCATCAAGATGAAGACATTGGTACTTGATCAATCGGTCAATATTAATTTTGTATTTTTTAATTCCATTTCTACATACTCCAAAAAAGTATTATTTTATATTTAATAAAGTGAAACAAAAATAAAATTAAAAATGATGGAAACTTAAGTTATTTAAATTTTAAACATATCTTCGCACCTGCATTAATAGAATTTTGAAAATGTTTTATTATGTTAATAGTATTAAAATTCATCAGAGTAAATCAATATTTTTATTTGTACCTATTCGTTTTGTTATTTAAGTTAAGTACTTCAAAATATCATTAAGCTAACTAATAATAATTTTTTAAACATATTTAAACTTTTTATCGGATAAAATATAGTCCGATTTAGACTGCAATTTAGTTAAAATGTAATTTAAACGATCTTGAGTATAATTTATAGTAGTCCATGATTGATATTTTAAAAACTATACAAACAAATATAAAATATTAGGTACATAAAATATCAACAAGTTAAGTGTTTGACATTGGATTTGATATTTAATATTGTATAATTTACTCAATTTTGGAAGTTATAAATTGCTGCCATTCATTCAAAATTCAAGACATTTTCAAATTGAGTTTTTTTTTATAATATCAACTATCAATAAGTAACTGTATGAAACGAGTATTCTCGAATTTTAAAATTGTTAAGTGTTTTCGGACATTATTTATTTTTTGTTGATCAAATCATTGAAAAAATCATTGACGATAATAATATATTGTATTAAAAAAAAATACCTAGCAATAAAATATTCTAATTAGGTTTACTGACTTTACAATTACTAACCATACCCTTGAATATTTATGTAATCAATATTTCGACTTTATTTTTATAAAGATATACATTTAGACCTTCAGTATATTTTTCAGCACTATTCACAAAAGTTAATTTCTTTTCAAGAGAGTAAACGAGTTTACAAACGAAGTTCACTGTACACAAAGTGTATTGTATGATCGAATATAAAATCACAAGGTGGTAGATAGGCAACCTAATCAACATTTATTTTAGGCATCTATACCGATGGCACGTATGGAAATTGATTACCTACCATATTATTATGCATAACAATTTATTTAATTTACTCATAACTTAAACAAACGTCAAATACTAATATATTAATTTACTATTTAAAAAGTTTTTATTGTGTCTAGTACTAAATGTATTCATATAATGTATTGACTGAAAATAATTAAAAATATTAACAATTTCAATAACCAACTTGATGGTTATCTACATATACTAAATGTATTATATAGAACCCACTAAGATACTTCTCACTCACTCAGATAGAACTAATACATACTATATTTTTATTGAACTGTCTAAAATATATTTTATGATTTCATCGAATTATGTTTGTTTTTGATCTGAGATTTTAGAAGACTTTTACGAAAGCCAATTACGTCATGATAATATTATAACGGTCTATAGCTTATACAATGGAAACAATATGAGTATAATTATTTAAAAAATAAAATAGATATCACCAAAATATTACGTTGCAAACCTTGTAATATATTTTTCAACAATATAAATATATTAAAAATACATTTCTTGAATGTTATAAATATAGTTTGGCAAAAAATAATTTTGTATTATTTATTTGAACATTTTGATTGGCCTATAAACTATGATCTAGTTCATCATAATTCATCATTTTCACATTATTTTATGTAGTAATGTAGTATACAATGCTAATATAATTTAATAGGCATGTATTAAATTATGTAAATATATATTATATATACCTACTATATACATGTACATAAATATTATATTTTTCTAATATGAAAGACAATAATAATACTTTCGAAATTATTATACATAATAATGATTATAAGTAACAAAAAAAGAATGAAAATAGATATTTAAATATAAAAAAGGAATGTAAGTTTATGACTAATGTGTATAGACAACGTAAATGGTCTAATTAGGCTTAAGAACGTTATCCATAAACTGTCCCATTATGTTGCCGGGTGGATTATAATTTGCGACGATCACAATTCTTCCAGACTTGCCTTTCACCATCGCTATACCCATGGAGTGTGATCCTTTCCACACGAGTTGAGTGAATTGTCCTGCAATCAAAACAGATCGTGTACCCAAATTACTGTGTAATGTCTTTGGTCTATATAATATTATAGAAGAAATCGTATTCTGAGCGTTTACAGAAAACTTTACAGGCATAAAAAAACATACTTCTGACTGGTCTGTCTTCGGGAGAACTAAATAATGTACAATGTACCTAAATAATCTTTTTTAAAACTATGCAGTATAGAGTTGATATCGTGTCCGGTAAGTAACTTAAAGGTAAACGGTTTACATTCTATTTTTTTCGAGAACATTATTAATTCATTAATTTTATTTATCAACTAACATCACAAACCTAACATACAGTTATGTCTTATGTACCTATTTTAGGCTTAGCGATGACCGAGGGGTACTGATTGACTAATAAAATTGGGAACCTCACCTTCTGGAAATAATATTTATACTTTTCAACTATTCAAAATTTGTAACAATTACGAAACATTCATTTTTGCTCGAACCAAACATTATGTACTAACAAATCGACTATTCCGTTTGCCACATTTCACGATATTAGGTATATAATATTTTCATTTTACATTGATTAAATGTTTAATCAACATATTTAATCGATATTTTAAATACTGTCTATTATATAGACTAGATAGGTATTATAATTATACTCGATATAGGTTGTAGAGCGTAGGTCATAGGCCCCTAAATTCAAAAAATAATTTCAAACGTTCAGTGTCGGTGCCCGATGGTTGTGGTTTCTATATCCACCCTGGATATTTATTTTTATTTATATTTTCTTTATTATTGTATAATAAGTGATAACATTGTGGTTGTACATTTATGTTGAAAAACGTCCATGTCTAACATCTAGTTGTGGTAAGTGGTTAGATACTTAGTTACTAGCAAGTTATTCTTAAAATCAGGAAGTAGTTGTCATATTGTTATTTAATTGTTGGAAAACATTTTACATTTATGTGAATGAACCATAAATATATAAAGTTATACAATTTGGACACTATAGTGGTCCCGTTGATGTTGATTTAACATAACTCACTTATACAATACGTTGATTTGAAACTTCTCTTAAATGTTTCTGTAACATAATATTGCAAGGTGAGTTATCGGTTTGTCGCGTGTTAAGTCATGTGCATGTGCGTGAGGATAGATTACGCGTTATAATAATATTATGTGAGCACGCTGACTAAAACATAATATGATCATTTATTACGCGACAATCAAGTGGCCCGTACACGTACTCTTAAATCTTAACATTGTCTAAAACTCCTTACAAACGAAACGTTTACAAGACAAAAAGTTGATTTTGGCGGATAAGTGAAACGCCCGGTCTTTACTGGATCTATATTGTGTTGCACAATACTCTATGCCTAAAGTGATGTAAAATTTCCGAAATTTCATATTCAAGTAATTTCTAAAGATTTATTTCTGAAATTTAAAAATTAAATTTTTTGTTTTAATGTTACTCTTTTACCTTGTAAAAATTAGAAATATTCTTAGAAGTTTGAAGTATATTTCATAACATTAAAAATATACCGTACAAATTGTACTAATTTGAATATTTTGTTTTTAAACATAATTAATAAGTTCAGAGGTAATGATAATATTTAATATTGGCGCCGTAGAATAGCATCGGAGTATCGCTATTTTCTCACAACAAAATGTATTTAAATAAAAACAAATAATACAGTTTTTTTCTGAAATGAGAATTTCTAAATGCAAATTTCTTACTTTGTTGATGCAGTTATTTGTGTAAGCTTTAAAATATTTAGAAGCTCTATGCCAAAATGAAATAATTCAATAAGAAAACACAGTACAGTTTTTAAACTTTCAGAATAGGGAAAAAGATCTGTGACATTATTGTACCTATGTTGATAAGTATAATGTACTCATCATTCATAAAACAGTAAAAAAATGGCCCACCGTGAACTGTGCAGGTACTAGGTAGATAAGTGGTGTCTTAAGCAGACCTGAGATCGAAGACATTCCGCAGACTTTCTAATCATTTTCATAATAATATATAATAATATGCTCAGAAAACTTTTAATGAACAACCTCGTACAAGTAATCACGTGCTGTGATCATTACCTGATTTTATAATTCTAGGTTCTCTCGAATAATCGTAATCTTTTCCCGCTTTGTACCAGTTGCATATCGCGTCTCTGGCCGTCACCTGATCCGACGACCAAATGCTGAACAAGTTCTCGCCAAATGGATTATCTGGCTGATGGATGAACTTGTCATCTTTGGCCAATGTATTTGCCCAGGTCAGTGCGTTGCGACACAACTAGAAAAAAAAAATTAATTAATACAATTTCTAGACTAATAATAATAGTATATTATTATTAACTATGATATTATAACTTTGATAAATATACTGTTCATATATAAGATGGATCTATAATATTGTTATCAAGTACGAATTATCGTTTTGATCGATCAAATTACTACTATTATTTAAAAATCATATTTGAAGACGAAGAATAAAAATTGTAAATAAATTGAAGATCTATTATTTTAGAAATTATCTCATTAAAATATCTGTATATACTCTATTATTACGCAATATATCAAAAACATATCATATATTTAAATGGATGTAGTGAATATATGTAGTATTACTCACCATTTTGTTCAAAGTCAGTGGCCCGGAACCATGTTTCTGCCTGTAGTCATTATGTAGCTTTAAACTGTCTTTATACAACTGTTCGTCCGTGTACGCGAGCTGTACAAGATGAGGACTGAGTGGCGCGTCTTTAAAACCACTAAAACCAAACGTGTTATGTATTATATAAACGACATAATATATATTTTCATTGTGTCGTCAATGAGTATAAAAAATAAAACAATAGATTGGTTTTACCCGACAGGTGGAACGTTTTCTCTAAACTGGCCCAGAAAATTTCCAGCGGGATCGTAACAGGCGACAACGAATATTTGTCCGGAACGGTTGGACGCTACGCCGACTCCCATTTCTTTGCTGGTCGCCCAAACTACTTGTGAAAAATGACCTGCGGATGCGACAAACAATATGGTTAAAAATATTTCCGACATTTACGAGTTAACAGACGTTTAAAAGGGAGTAGCCGTAGTGGTTCCTGTTTGAAAAACGTATTTTATTAAATTAAGCCCAATTGGTTTTCGTTTAGAAAAAGTATTTTATTAAGTTAAGCCAAATTGATTTCCGTTCGTGTTCAAGTCAAATAGCTACAATTTCCATTTTTAAACAATCTTTTGCAGTATGAAATCATATGCTGTATATATAATTGGTACAAAATATAAAATATGTACAATCTATGCTACTCTACACTAAAAAGGCAATGAATCGTTATATTGGGACGTTACCAAATTATCTCTGATAATCGATGACCAAACATTTAGAAATCGGACAACTTCGGAAACTATTTTTTGGACTGCGCTTAGTATATCACCCGAAGACGTCGAAGACTGTTTTTATAATGTTTCCATGGCCATAAAACCATGCTGCCCGAAATTGGATCGGTTCAGAAAATGCGAGTAGTTAACCGGGTTATTAATTCGGATTACCTTAATAAAATATACCTTTTCAAAACGGGAACCAATTTGGCAGTGGGGTTGTGGCTCGGGACCAATTCGCTATCAGCCGTTTAAAATCTGCACACGCTTATTAACTAGGTATCTAACCAAATATATCGGCAGTGCATATTATTATGTGTGCCGAGAAATGCAACGACGGGCACGGTCAGTACTATACACATCATGTATACGATTGCAGAGCACGCGATTACATTACGATACTATCGTGTGACGTGTCCAGAGTACATTATACACTGCGGCAGACAGACGACAACGCCGCTATATGGATCCTGGATGGGTGAACACGATCAATATAATATTATTTACGAGCGTATATAGTTCATATAGAATTCGCGGTATACCGTCGAAACTGGCCTCATGTATTATTACCTAGGTATACCACAATATAATATTTAATGCGTATATAATGCGTATATTATTATGCACGCATGTGCGTGATTCTCCTGCAGTACAGAACATTTCGTGTAGAACTGAGACACAATTTTATATCGATTCCTCGCTGAAGAAGCACGCATTTTTATGGTTCTCACGCGAAAGTCTAGACTATCATCCATTGGCTACATAATATTATTAGATAAATACATTTTTTTTTGGCTGGATACGAGATTTTTTTGTTTTTGACCGATTGTATGCAAGTTTTTGGTTGTCATGGTTACTTATTAACAAAAACATATTAATGATTCATAGATTTTCTTTGTAGAGGAAAAATATAAAGTTGCGTGCTACAGTTTTTTTTCATATACCTAGGTGTAATCTCGATGTATGGTTAAGCATTTAAAAATAAAACACTAAACAAGTTTGAACCGCTTACAATGAGAATCGAGATGAACACTATTGTTCAGAATAATAAATGGAACAATATAATATAGGTAAATTAACAAATAAAAGTAAAAAATAAATTTACCATAATTACTAAATCACCACGATAGAAAACAGATAATAAGAAAATAAATTTGTTGGTGACCAGGAAGTATATCACTTGTATTAAATAGCAGTAAAATAAATTCTCATTTTATAAACTGATAATGATATTATATTATTTCTATGAGGGAAATTATAATTATTGCTATTTTTAACAAGGAAAATTGGACCAAACAGGCATACTTTTAAGAAAATAAAAAAGACATTCACGTTCTCCCCGTCGCACTTATCTTAGGCACTCGAATATTATTATTCAAAGTTTAAACAAATTATAAGAAATAAACCAACCAAACGAAAATCTAATTATTTTAAATTTAACTCCATAATTATAAGTATTGGTAGAGGGGCTATACATTTCGAGTGAGACTTTTCAACAGTTTGGAGTAACTATATTGTATTCGTATACGAGTGAATCGGGCAATTTGCGTCGCCGAGCAACAAGAAATTATAGTAAATACGATATTATAAGTTTTATAATATGTAGAACAAGGTAGGTATGAATAACCAACAGGGACATTACAATTAGAAGGCTGGCTGGTGTCTATTTCCAGAGTTCAGATCAACAGTCATTGAAAACCATAATATTATTTCATCTTTAGAATACTGTGCTTTTGATGTAGATTTGTTTTAATCTTCATGCCATAGGTTTATTATTATATTTAATTATACATCTTATAATAATTATTCGGATAGTATTTTATTTTATAATGATTATACCTTTTAATAATTTATTTTGTACTCATATAAGGTACCTAAAAAATACACCCCAATTATTTAAAAAAAAAAACAAAATATTACAATATTATTATTTAAATGTTTGTATTATAACACCTATTTAAATTTTAAACTAATGGCCAAGTTATAAGTTATAATAGTGACTGTGAGTAATTAAAAGTATTTGTTGTGTAACTATTATAACATGCAATTTAGATGAGTATATCATTGCAAGTTTAAAAACTACACTAAAAAAATTGATACTTTATTATATGTTTTTATTTTTATTTTTTTTTTAACTATACGTCCATCATTTAGCTGGTACACGCATTGTATCTAATAGCTTTTATCACGTTTGAATAGTTTAAAGTCTTTATGTACCATTCTATAATATGCAAACAAGTAAACGTAAAATAATAAGTACGCTCATGGTATAAAAATGAGGTGTTAATGGTAACAGGTACATTGTGGTACATGGTAACACACCTTTCATTGGAAATGTAATCATTGAGTATCTAAATTTTACAATGAGTTTTAAATTATATTTTTCATTGTAGTGAGTATTATATCAAATAATAAACGTACTTATATACGTTCCTACCTACAGTGCATATTATCTACGGAGTACAACAGAAACTTACGATAGCGGTGCCGCGTAATTATTATCTAATACACAATATCTATCTAATACCAACCGCTGGCTGGAGTATAAAGAAGTGTTATTATTACGAAGTACTCGTGCCTACCCGTGTAAGCATTGGAAAAAATTCCAAGTACAGTCGTAATACCATCGATCATCGCTATAGGATATAATAACACACTAATTGGTCAATGGCGTAATGCTGCAACACTAAAGATTATTCTGGGGGTGGTTTCTGCAAATCGTGAACGAGTATAATGCGCATAGATACAGAATATATTGATCAATAATCTAACCCGTGGATTTGTTGGCCGGGCGAGCTGCCATGCCATTAGGTATGCAACACCGAATAAGTCTGAGGACTGCGAAACTTCGGCGACATAAGATAATTATCCATACATTAATAAAACGCAAAAACTGCAGTGTGTGATGTGCAAACGACCCCCAGCCAAGTGCATCGGACTAGTGGTTCTGAAATTTGGTACGTAATTCTATACCCGAGGATGTGCACATCGAAGCAAATTGTTTTTATTATTTTGAAAGACGGGCTTACACAAAGATTTGATGGCTTGCGAAAAATGAATATTATTTTCTTTTTATAGGGTTGCATTGGTTACATAAAATAAAATAGTTATATCTAATATAATTTTAGTATAGGTTAATAACAAATTATAGATTTGTGTTTATAAATTGTCAAAACCACCCAAATGGCAAATCACTGGGATAAAAATATGTGTAGTTGACATTTAACGGAGTTCTAAGACATGGTGAACCCAATCGCATTATTTAATTACGGGCAACACAGAACAGAACCAACTAGTTTTATGATGTAAAATATGAACTCTTGACACTAGACATGTCTATTTTTTAACGGTTACAATAATCGACGAGGCCGTGCGAATTACCTGATTTCAGAGTAGTGGGTTCGCGGCCAAAGGGGTGAAATTTGATTTCTTCGTACCAACTGTCCACCGGTTCCCTCCCTTCGATCCTGTGGTTGGGCAGTGACGTCCAAGAGCAAAACAAGTTCTCACCATACGGCGATGAAGGTCTGTGCTCCAGAAGACCTTTGACGCTCAAATAGTTAGCCCATTCTTCTGCATATTTACAAAGCTAAATGCAAACAGATTTTCAAAGTTAAGTATTTATGCATTGATCATTGTGACGAGGACGATAATAATATATAAGTGTCATCCAATATGTATGCATATTAAGTGCTTATTATAATTGTATTTATTAATTCCAGCGGTTTGTATATTATTGTAAAAAAATGTTGCGACTCAATGAAAACCAATTGATTAAAAACAAACTAATATTTAAGTAAACATATAGATAACAAGTTTTTTTTTTGTTATATAATACCAAAATCGATTTGCCAACTATCAAAAACATGAAGTAGAACCCACGGATTTGAGTATTGTGAATTGTAAATCATTACTTCCAATCGAATACAAAACCAAACACAATTAGTATGACTTACAATAGTTTATTTTTTTATAATGAATAAACTATTGTTCTATTATAGGTATCAAAACAACTTTGGTAACTTTTTGTGATCTTTACAAAAAGAGTTTATGTTTGGTTAACATAACGGTTACATAATGCTCAAATTAAATTATTACGAAACTAATATGAAAACATAGAGGTATATAATACACTTATACAGTCTTCATTCAAACTATAGGAATTGAAAAACGCAATTCAAAGATTAATTCTTTAATGCCGAGACAGAAGTATAAAGGAAATTTAAAAACATATTCTATACTGCGGTAGACTTGTAGAGTAATGCAAATTAGTTGAACTAGTAAATGCAAATTTTGATTTTCCATTCACTCATAGCATTAAAACGAATACCTACGTTTTTCATTTTTTTTTTTTTTACACAGATACGTCAATCATGTTTTAATAATAATGCACGTGATAATAAAAAAAGTAAGGTAACAAGAGAAACAAGGAATATTTACATTAAATATTTTTTTTAACATTTTGTCTGCTGACCACGAAGTGAAAGCACAGTTGTCACGTTTTATTATTATGTGGTTTTGTTTGCCCCTACTATAGAGGTAGGTTGTACTTAACTTCTGAAACCCCATCTACTATACGACGGCCGTTTTAATGGCCTTCGTCATACAAGACGAGTGGATGCATTGTTGTCGTGTCAACAAGTAATCTATCCAAAATATTTCTATTACGAAGTTCAACACCAACATTACAATGTGGAAAGAAGAAAAACAAATTATTATAGCAGTAGGTATGGCAGAAATAATTTGATCAAGAAAGTATTTCCATAGATTTCTTTCAGTTTTAAAATTGCACGCGATAAAATAACATACTTCAATAATATAATCACATATTATTTGCGTAGGTGCCTATTGCCTGCTGAAATGTTTACACAATATATTATTGTATTCAATGCAGTAGTCTATATTCGTGTATTTGAATGGATACTAACTTTCTTACTCAGGATCATAGGAGGAACAGTGTGTTTCTTCCTGTATTGATTGTGTGCATCCAAACATTCTTGTATAAATGTCTTGTTGTCGATGATTATTTTTTTCTGCGATTTTATAGCTGTACATCTCTAAAACAGATTACATAAACGTTTTATTTTAAAATATAAACATAATATAGTAAAATATTTTAAGCAATGTAGATTATGTAGCACTTATATATATACACAATTGTTATTGCTATTATATAAAAATAATTTCAAAAAAATGGTTACTGATGTATTATATTATTCGCCAATAACAATTATATTTAAATAAATTGTTTGTAAAATTGCGTATTTATTTGAATAAATAATTGTAATTAATTATATAGGTATAAAGTCGTACAATTAAAAAGATTTTTTGACATATGTTTGTTATCATTACACACGACAGTCCGACATGACCGACATAAATAACAATATAATACCTATATAAAAATGTTAACCAATGTCTACCATATATAATATAAACTACGATCTAATGATACCGGTTTTCTATAACATTAAATTAAAGATATTAGTAGATCGTTTGAACTGATAAAATTGCGATTAGCTTGTGTTTTTAATTTTTATTGTCTCTGGTGATTTTTTTTTTATAGTCGTAGGTACTTGTAAGATGTCTATCAATTATAACAATCGTCTTTTTTTGTATCAAAACACAATAGGTTCCAATTTCAATGCATATATAGGAGCACAATTCTGCATTCAGCACGCCAAGTTTTCCAGTGATTAAGGACACACGTGTAATAAATAGGTTTTTATTTTATTCAATAAAAAAATGACATAAATGTCCTTCTTAGTTTTCGCATTTTTAAATGATTTTTGCACAGGAAAAACGTTTTTTGCAGCTGTATGTAACCGCGAGTTGGTTACCTATACTATTTTAAGCGATGATTTCGATAAGACTCATTTCTGTATCTTGAGTGGATATTCATACACTTTTATTTTAAGTAAAAATTTAACTAAAATAATCACACAGACGTGTTTACCTTTTTAGCTTTTTATTGACATTTAGACAAACATTACATCTATTATATTGTATTTTCAAGTTATAAACATAAATCCTGCAGACAATTTTTGTCTATCCCTCGCAACTAGTTATATATCTATACTTAAGTTAGTATTATACTTATTTGATTATACATTTAAAAATGACAAACAATATTATTATGTTACATTATATTATTAATGCACAAATGCAAGCTTGGTGATTATGCGTCCTTGCTGATTTTCAACAACATGATCGCTTGTGCAGATCTGTCGGAATCGTATGACAAGGTTTCTGTATATTATGTGTCTCAACACTGATACGTGATCACAAGGTAGTTGCACGAGCGTATATCATACATGCACAAACGTCACTTTCGTGATACTTTCAGTATATCAATCAGAAGTTTAATTAACACATCCTATTACAGTCATGCCTAATACATATTAAAGATCACTTCATTGACGTATAGAATAGGTATAGCCATACGAATAAAAAAATGACAATATTTTCAACACGTTCGTCGATAAATTTTCATGACAAAACTTACATTTCCGCTTTCAATTTGTAAAAGCACATCAGCAATTTATTGTCCTGTTTATATTTTATTTCATAAACACTAGAAACTCCGTAATACCTATAATAATTCATAATCGTACATGCAGTGAATTCAACTATTGATATGATTTTTTTTTAGATTTGTATTTATTTTTGATTAGCTTTGAACATACTATGGTATTATAATATTATTATATAAAAATTGTAAATCGACTTTTATTTGAAGTAGGTATCGTATTGCATAGATACATATTAACTTTAAAATTCAAGGCCAATATTTTTATCATGACATTTTGCCCGAAAAACGGTAACCAGAGAAATTTTAGATATTGAACGAAAAACCAAAACAATGTTTATACTCTGAATAATAATATTTATTGAACTACACTTACTTGTTTGTATGACGTTTTTAATTCTTGTGATGAAGTTGACGGTGACAACGATGAAAGGAAGTCGTCAGATCCATCTTTAAAAACAAACATTATTCAAAGATAAATTTCAAGCGATATAAATATTGTTATTTTCGGACGTTCATATCATCCTTAAGTATTAATTTCATAGCAGTAGTACTAATAAAAAAAAAACATAGCGACAAATTGGTTTAAACATATAGGTGGGAATTATTTCTGGAACGAAATTGGGAAATCAACCGTTGCGTGAAGATTAGATAAACAATTGTTAGAAGTTTTTCAATGTCATTGCCACGAATGTCACGGAAAATAGAATTTATGCCCTACGCCAATTTGTTTGAAGATAAATGCACAAGCAAGGAAATTGCGCCTACACACGCGGTTCATGTGAACATTCACTGAGGAAAAACTATTTTACTTTTTAACAAATTTAATATACCATTAATTGTTTCAATACTGTTTATACGAATCAGATTAGGTACATTTTTATATACATACCCAATTTGTTATCAATGGTTTCTTCTATGTTTTTCGTTTCAGAAGTTACTTTCCTCTCTGTTTTGTTACCCCGAAACGTCTGCACGGTTTCTTTGGTCAAGGTTTCAAACTTGGGTTTCTATGAAAAAAAAAGCAAAAAACATCGTCAGCAAAAAATAATATTTAACAGTTTTTATCAATCAATTATTTGATATATTTCTTAATTTTAATTAAAGATCATAATCGATTTTTATCCGTTTGAAATATACCAAGCATCATATACTCGTGTAGTATATACATACTGTATATTGAATGTTCGAGGTAATTTTTGAATTTCGATTAACCCATGTCCGGTTAAACGAGATTAAAAATAAAATCTAATGACTGAATGGCCATCGGCCGGTGACTAGTAATTCGATTGGTACGGATAAGTTATTTAATTATGTAAAATATAATATTTAATAATGCACCTGTCCCAATTTTGAAGGGGCGACAAATATCCTCCGTTCCGTTTTTCTGGTCATGACTACTCGACTATGACCCTGATTGAAGTCATGCCCATGGGTGGAGTCTTGGAAAGATGTTAAGTCGATGGAACTACTTGCATATCTTTGTCTCGGCAAACAGCGTAATCTAAAAATAAAATAAATTGTTTCCCAATTTTAATTAAGCCAGCCAATTATAAATACATATTTGATATCGGCCATGTTAAATGTCACTGTCGCAACCTTCTTTTCTAACAGTCATAAGTCAAAACTCCCAACATACATTATACATATATGCACAAATTATATATGATAATTTATTAAAAATAATTAACAATTAAATACTTAGACAAAAGTTACCTCCTTAAATAATAAATATTATTTTCAAAAATGAGAGAGGTTTGAAATCCACATAAATCATAGCTTAAAGACATTATTGACTTGTAAGCCAAAATCTTAAAACTCTAGGGTAATAAATTCATTTTTAACTATCGTCTATTGAGTAAGGAGTACCTATACTATTTAGGGACAACATTTTTTGTTTTTTAACAGAACTCCGATACCATAAAACAAATTTGTTATTTATATTATACAATATAGTATAGGCACCTACTTACGTTATAAAAATATTATTTTATACTACGTATATTTTTAATTTTAGAATATTTATAATCTGTAACATGCTTGTACAATAAGGAACAGGCGAAAATTTGGTGACAATTTATATATATGTATACATGAATAACGAAAGGAGGGAGGGAAAATATCTAAAAAATGGAATACTTCTATAAAAAACTATAGTACGCTACTACATATTTTTCCTCTACAAGAGACATCTATGAATCATAAATATGTTTTTGTTAACAAGGCAAACCACAACAGCATAAACATTACAAAAATCGGCCAGAAATAAAAATCGTGTATCTAGCCCAAAAACATATTTATGTTAAAAAAATATTTACTACATTATTCTTGTGTTATGCAATAGATGAATAGAAATGTGTATTTAAGTATAGCCTCATCCTATATTTTTTGGAATTTTTTGTTGTAATTAATGTCTGAAGTACCACCTCCTGTAGTTCCAATAGAAATGTATTAAATATAACATTTTAACTAGAAATGACTTCATGTGCTTATAAGCTACCGACTCCTGGCGTACAATCTAAAATGCATGATATAATCACTCAACACATGATGTTTATCTACATTCTACATTCTACCTTAAAAACACTACTTAGAACTTCAGTTCAAATTAGTTTTTATGTATGTAGTTCTAGCGTTTTTGTAAATATTTTCTTGAAACACTATTTTAAATACCGTATGTTCTTATGAAGAATAAAAATTGTTATTTTAATAAGTAGGTAAAAAATATAAAATATATTTAAGAATATTGATTAGGTTAGGTTTAGGTTAGGTTATATATCTTATTAAAAATAAATTTTGAATTTTTATTTGTAATTACCTGTACCCAACAAAAATAATTATTTTTATACTTACAAAATTGGCGTCTTATAGGATATTATATTATTTTTTCAGATGGATTAGTTAGTTATCTCCCTAGACATAGGTATAGTCCTAGAGAATATAGAAATTTAACAGCTAACGCTATGATACATAAATTCAAAATATCCTCATTTGATGATAGGTTACTGTTACACATAACTTCTAATATTTATATTTTAATTATTAACATGTAATGTAGTAATAATTGTTATAAAATACAAATTTAATATACATAATATAAAAAATTATTTTGAACTTTTTTGATCGTTTACGTAGGTAACTAGAATTAACAGATTTGTCACCTATTTTAGCGTAAAATTCGTGGACGAACGATTGAATGAGTTTTGGACTATAAAAAATTGTTTTTTATTTATTAACTTATAAAATGTGTGTTTAAATTGCACAATCAAAAGCATATAATATACCACACACACTAAGTTTGTACTAAATAATCATATACCATGATATATTAATTATAATTATGTTTGTTAAGAATATTAGGATAACTATTTAATTACAACCTTTATATCTTTCATTAACACTATTAATAAAAGAAAACAAAAAACGAGAGAAATTATGATTTGCAATGGAACAGGAAAAAAACTTTTTACCTACGTTCATGCTATTAACGATAAAAAATAAAAGAATAACTGAGTACAACAGTTACGACTTCTAAAGTCATTCTAATAATTTACACCACCGAACAAAATATAGCTTACAAAAATAAATATAAAATATAAATCAATAGACAAATAAACTAAACGTTATTTTCATTTTTAGTTTGATTTCTGATCAATTATAGAATAAAGACGAAATAAAGTAATTAAGAACTATTAAAATCAAACATAATAATAATTGTATTACGAATTACAAATACAGTTAAAAGTGCTCATGTTTACCATCATGGAAATCGAATGATCTTGTAGGTTAATGAGTTAAGAACATGTTCCGGTTTTATGATTCGTAAATTATTAATATAGGTAAGTATTGTAGTACTAAGATTTCTATTTAATATGTTCTTCGTCGTATGTTATTTATACCTATCTGTTTGAATCTAAAACTATTATTTGAACGATAAGAAGCAGAATGTAAATAATACTTGTAGAATATTTACACATAATTATTATATTTATTTAATAAGATATTTTCGTTATACAATAAGCAGTTCAAAAAATTGATGTATAATAATTATGGCGCTTAGTGTTAACAGCTAGTTATCGCCAGTAAAATATACAACGATAAATATTATACGTACACTCGATTATAGTATTTTCAGAGAAAATTAATTTGACAAATTTCAGTAAAATATGAAATTCTATCACAATTTTACCATTTTAATATTTCATTAGTAAAAAGTTTGGTTGTTACTTATATTAGTTGTATAAAATCATGAACATTTTTAAATACCAGAATGAAACAGCAGACTAATTGTTCGAAAAAATAAATTTATTGAGAAATCTGTAATCGGTAGATAATTAGGATATCAATTACTAATACCACTTAAAATTTCTGGCTTAATGATATAGATTATAAAAAAAATTCTTATTAGACGAAAAAAAATCACAATAGTAAATAAAATGATAATTTCAACAAATTAAAATGCGAACAATATAACATTAGTATAATGGTTGTAGATATCTCAAAAAAAAAAAATGGTTCAAAATTTTAAGCATACGTTTAGCGAAAACGTAAACTTTAATAGGTATATTTAAATGAAAATAGGTATGATCATGAAAATTAAATTATCTGAAGCAATATTATACTGCATTATATATACTTTTAGCTCTTAATAATATGATTTATGAATAGGTCTACTACACTACTCATACTGTACGAATAATGTTCTAAAATGTGTGTGTACATATTTACGATAGTATGATATATCGATTAATCATAAGTATATTCATGTGTTTTTGGTAAGATAACTATATTGTTATCCAGTTAGGCTAGAAACGAGTAAAAGACAATATTATACTATATTTTTTAATCTCAATGTATTTGTTATGATATAATCGTTTACAAGCAGACGATCGAACACACCCATAAAAATGCACTTATAAATGATAGAAAACAGAAATGAATTAGGATACTAACCTGTCGACGACGTCGGGTCTAGACGGAGGTTCTTTAATCACCATATTATTGTTATTAATATAGCATTTGATTAATTAAAATACAATACAAGACGCACGCTGCATGGTAAAATAATTAAATTAACCTATTATTAACCATTACAAGTGTCTAGTATTACTAATAATTACTACTACTTAAGGTATTACTATTATACTACTATTACTAGTTACTATACTATTTCAACTACACCGTAGAAATTTAATATTGTTATGATTGCAGTTATTATTATTGTTATTATTTTGTGTTACTGTTATAACCACAAACACTGTAAGATCGGTAAATATCGAAACACTTACGCGGTATATACAGGTAGGTATAATATAATAATAAAATTCGCGCCGAATTCGAACGGAGTTTCGTCACCGAGCGAGCAGCGTACCACTTTGATGTGTTGTAGGCACACGCAGATACCGCGCGAACCGCATTTCAGCGAGTGATTACTGCACAATGAGCAGAGTCTTACTGCCTACCTATGCCATCGGCCACAGGTACCTACGACTGTATAGTTGTTCCGAATCGTCGCGCACATGTGCGCATGCTCTTTACCAAGACTTTTAATGTTTTTTTATTATTATTATTTTTTATTGTTAAATTTTACTTTTATACAATGTAGAGCTACCTAGTGTAATGTACCTTATTATGATTAAACGCTCGTACAATGTTTTCGTGTGCGATATTTTTTACCGCCGTGCACCATACAAATACAATGCTACTACTATTCATAATAATAACAATTTAAACGAATTATGAAATGTAACTTTAAATCATGTATACCTACAGATAGTGTTGGTAGCATTTTTTTTACTTTTAATTGAAAAGGTTGTATTTTTTTCCTAAAAATTGCATGCATCCATTTTAAACATCTAGTCAAATAAACATCAGATTCAAAACAACTATTCGTCCGACTACATTGTACATTATTTATTTAGTTACGAGCTCGAAATAAAATTCAATATTATACAGTTATTAGTTGAACATGATTTTTGTTCAAGATTCAATGAAATATTATCAAATTGAATATTACTTGAAAATAAGTGTCAAAAATCGTAGTTTTGATTTTTTCAAATGAAAATTGAAACCGACATGGAAACAAAAAATTGGAAACAGTACCTATAACCACAATAAAACAATACGCAACGTAAACAATAACATACCAAACAATTATATAATATTGCAATAGCGGGTTTGTATAGGTATACATAAATGTCAATTAAAACATAATAATTTGCAAATTATTTATAATGGCTGGATTTGTTTTTTTTGTGCACGCTAACAATAGGATGTAATCATACATAATTACTGGTCTTCGAATATTGTTTCCGTCGATATCCCATTATTCTAGTGTTGTTTTCGCAATTACAATGTGCAAAAATTTGTCTACGCTTAAATGTACCTCCTCCAATATTTATGTTTTGTTATTGCTGTATAGAACTATAGACTATAGAGTATCCATATTATAATTAAGTTTATTTGTATAGTTTATACTTCCATATATACCCAATTACAGTTTATGATTGTTGTGACTTATGAATACAATTTTTTTTTTCAAAAATTTACCATCGGGCAAATTATTTAACTATGCGCTATTAAACAATAAAAGTATAAGAACCATAAATAGAAGGTTTGCATTTCGAACTGTAATTGGTAATATTAAAAATATATAAAACAATCATCACTAACAGCTATTAATGATGTGAATGGCACTTACTGAGAAATACTTTTTTGATAATGAATAATAATACTTACGAACATATAATACTATTATAACATCATAAAGTACAAAATAAATAGCTATATAGTGTGTAAGCACTTGCAAGTAAGTAAGTTGTATTCGGTCTTACATTATAATGTTACCAAATTAAACACAAATTTTTGCACAATAATACAACGGCCGTTTTAATAAATATAAAAATAAAAAATGAAAAACTTTTAGTATTTACAATTTTTCTAGATTACTATTTTTGATATAGGTATTTGAACATTTTTTTAAGTAGTAGACTTTTTTTTTATAATCAAAGAACACGTACACTCAAATACCATGCAAGTATTTCTATATTCAATCGTGATGGGCAAGTGACCAATAAGTAAAAATATAATATATTAAATAAATAATTGTAAAATACAAAGACATGCACATTTTTTAAAAATGTTAAATAATTTTTGGGTAAACATCAAATTACTGAATTGAATTAAACGTTTGATCAACATTATTATAAAAAAACTTGAAATAATATACAAGAACGCTTTTTATACTATTTTAAACGCTGTAAACAACATATCATTCGATGATAAAATATATTAAATAGGTCATCAAATCGATGTCGAAAACTATAACTATTAAAAGTGATTATTTCATTATTAGGGAAAAAATTTAATTTTATATTGACGTCCAAAAAAGAAGATAAATAAAACGTTTAGGTATAACTGAATATTGTTGATAATGTATATAATTCAAATCTAATGAGAAACTTAACTACATTTTCCAAATCAAAATCACTAAATGTACTTTATTTACGTATATACTGTAATTTTTTATTTTAAAAGATAAAAAAAATGTATATTTGGACATTTATTTAGGTATTTCGTGATGTACTATCATCAGAAATTATTATTATTGAGCAACAGAGTCTTATCATGTTTATAGAAAAATAGTTCACACGGCACGAAACGTACCAGCAAGAACAAACCTATTAAAAACATCCATGAATCAGGGCTTGAAATCGATTTCAAAATCGATTTTAAATATCGATAAAAATCATTAAAATTTTTTTAAAAAATCAAAATTAATATCGAAATCGTGAATGCTTGTAAATGATTTTCAAAATTTCTATTAAAATTGAAAAAAGTTAAAATCGATATTTTATATCAAAATCGAAATCATTACAATATAATCAAATCAATTTTAAATAAATTTAAAAAAAAAATCAAAAGTATACAAGCATACAGACATATCAGGTCTATTTATAATTAATATTTTTCATATGCACACTCAATGTTAAATTGGGTAATAACTTTGACTATACATATTGTATATCATGCACAATAGTGTGTATAGTAATAACTACTAATAATTAATGACTAATGTCTAATATTTTGTTTTCTGAGAATGGGATAATTACTTTAACTTGTTTGAAATGTTAAAGTAATAAAAAATAATATACAATCATAGTTCAAAAATTGAAAATAATTCACTAATATCAGTGATATCGAAATAATGTTATTTAAATTTTAAAATTAAACTAAAATCGAAATAAAAGAAAATTATATTTAAAATCGAAATCATAATATAATTAAATCGATATTCTGCATCAATATAAAAATCATAAAATCACAAAATCAATATATTATTTTTAAATCGAAATCGAAAAATATTAATATCGATAAGCAAAATTGAAATTAAAATCGAAAATTTTTGTTTCGATTTCAAGCCCTGCCATGAATATAATATACTAAAAAACGTACCTATTATAATATATTGTAATAATATTATTATCTCACGACTAAATATCAAACATACGTAATAAATTGCGGAGCCGATTGTTTTCAATAGAAACACAAGTTGATCAAATTCGATTTTCCCAGTAGATGTATGTTACCAATTTATAAACAGCCGGTACTTGAATTGTCACAAAATATTCACGAATTTTGAATAACAAAAAAATTATTATTTATTTTCTGTTCCTAAAAAATTTAATATTCTACAATAGGTACGCCCACAATACTCATTGTATCCACGATAGTTTATTTGATCAATTCAGTGGTACGAGTCGGATCACGTGTAGAACACGGGCCATTGAAAATCTTAATTCCACCTGAACCATATTATTATACTACTATTACTACTATAGTTTGTTTCGTAGCGCAAAAAAATACGAAGAAAATATATCAGTGACGCGTATCAATTATATTTTCCTGAATAGAAGCCAATTACTAGACACCCATACGATTTGTCACAAGTGTCATGTATAATACTTATAATAAATATATAAATATGTTATTTTTCCGTTTTCACTTTTCTAGTCTTTTCAGAGCGCGCGTTTCCTACCGCAGCCAAACGACATGAATATCCTATGACCAAACAATAAACATTATAACGTTACGAAACCGGCAATATCAGTACATAAGTAAACTACGCGTTGTTATATATTTTAATTTATAATATATTGTTATATTCGAAACACTTTAATTAGATAAGTACAAAGCTTAAAATCTACTTGGAAACAAGTTATAACCGCTTACAATCTTGTTTTTTTACATTATATATCACAGTAATCCGGTTAGTGTAATCTTAGAATTATTTTCGAAACGTTCATATGGCTTGAAAATAAAAACCAAAAACTCTTGACAAAATTATTTTATTTTTTTACAAATGAATATATTTTAATTTACTGACTATAATTTTTAACTTATACTTAACTATAATGACTGAATTCCCTAAAAAAACTTAAACATATGCCTTATAATTAGTTACATCTGTTAAAATGCATAAAATGAGTAAAAATTAACTAAATTAATGGGTTAAACATAAAAAAAATATTGTGTTTATTACTTCACAACGTTCATTATATTGCTTATTTTGGAATAAAACGATGTGGTAAGATGATTAACTAGGTATTAAAAAAAAATTCAGACTCTTAAAGGCTACGTTAAGTACGCCGTACCATGGTATAATGCAATCACTGATAAACAAGAATGATATTTTAAAAATCCATTTGCAAACCTCAAACGGAAAAATCGTTGACAAAACTAACCGAAGTAAAAATAATTTCAAAAACCATATACTAAACTGAAACTAGAAGATTTTAAAAACAATTCTCATAACCAAAACCAAACAATTTTAAAAAAACACTCTCGTGAACGAAATTCTTAAATCGGTTGGTTACAAACTCGGATCAGGTGTATTCTCATGTATATTATTATCGTATATACTACTACTACATACTCGCAAAACCGCCTTTATGTTAATTACATAGATATATAATTGTATCGAGAGATCGCAGGTTAGCGGCTTTATATGTAGCGCTGCTCATAAATTGAACACAATTGACTATAATTAATATGTGGGACGATGCGATGATATTATATATTTCTCGGACCTTCCCCGGAACAGACATTGATGAAGACTGAGTAAAAAAAAAAAAAAAAAAATTAGAAAGAAAAAAAACCACATGGACCCGAGTTACGAATTATTGTGTTGCAGATGGGTACCGTTTTTTATTTCTCTCGTCTGTCGCGGTCGGGTAAACGTTGATGATCACGGGAGCGTTGGAACAATTTTTCTACCGACGGT